ATTTTGACCCCCAGTAGCGAGGAAAGGTACCGCAATAACCTGGAAACGTGTCGCGTTTTAAGGCGAAGCGAGTGGCCTCGTTCAGTCTCCCTTTAACCCGGGTCAAGTCCGTAAGTCGGACTACAAGTAAAGGCCATCGTGTTGGGGGGTGGGTGGTGGTGGGGGGGGGGGGAACCCCACGCAGAATGAGAGCCGCTTATTCTCGTACCGCAACCAACAGACTTGGAACTGACTGACTTGACTGACTGACTGACTCAGTGTGAGAACTTTTTTCATTCATTTGCGACTCATTCTCTCTCGTCAGACGCATCTTTAAAAAAAAACGCTGCCAACGTTAAAACGCTGCGTTTTTTTTAAAAAAAATCATTTTTTTGGGGGGGTGGGGGGCTGTTCCCAGTTAAAAATCTGTCGTGGGTAAATTTAAGAAAAATCTCTCTCTCTCTCCCCCCCCCCCCACCCCACACACACCCCCTTTACATGTCACACATCTAAACGACCTATACTTACACCTGTGGAGTGATGATGGACCTAAGTGCATTGCAATTAACTGAATTGTAAATCTTTTCCGTATGTTTCCAACACGCCAGAATCATCTGTCTTTAATAAAATTTCAACACACAGCCTCCTGCAAACCAGTGTAGCGAGCAAGCCTCGAGATGCGTGTCTTACAAACAATTGCTACTCAGGTAGCAATGACGTCCCAAATACCCGAAAACTCACACATCCCATCCCACACCCACTATTGGCAATTGGTGTTGGGCTAATTGTTCTGCGAGTTCTTGTGGACGTTTCAGTGTGATTTCAGCTGAAGACTGCCTTTTGCTTTCATTTTGACGATTGGACCAACCCCCCACCCCCCCCCCCCCCCCCCCCACTCCTTAGACATGAGAATATTCTTATCTCCCTTTCATAGCAGTTCAACCGCTCTCCCAAATACAACGCTCGCCTTTTCCAGTCCCATTCAAACTGAATAGGATTCAAGGCAGATAGATACAGATAGATAGTTGGTTGGGTATTTCTGCTATTAAAATGTGGTCAGCTTCTTAAATGAGGGGTCTGAATAGCAACAGTTTCTGTAAAGATGCACCAACATATTAATAACTGACCAATTCAAAAGTGCCTGTTAACAATAATAATAATCATAATAATAATGCGGTTAGTCAATCCACGACTGTTTGTGGGACACTACTGTGCACAATTGGCTGCCGCGTTTCGCCCACAAAATATACAGTCAATTCACTTTAGAATATATTCTGCGAAGCGCTTTGGGGCGCCTCGAAGACGTGATAAGGTGCTGTATTAAATGCAAGGTGTATTATTAGGTATTTGCGAGAGAGAGCGAGAGAGAGAGAGGGGTGTGGGGGTAATATTTCGCTGTTCTTATTCTGCAAATTTCTTCATATGACTGTTTGTTTATTTACTGAATCGTTGTTAATAGCAAGTGACTTCAGAATTGCCGCTTTATTTATGACCGTAATATAATAATACCGTATTATCGTGACTTAGCTCGCGTTGCCTGGGACACTGCAGAGCCCTATTAGACCAAATTCCTTTTCGATTTCTGTGAGGCAACCAGCAAACATCACATCAGTCAACGACTGGGTGTTATGATGCTCCGTTTGTATGTTTAGATGTATCGTGTCGTAAAGGTCACCGAATATCAACTGAACAATGCCATGTCCTGTGTCATATCGAACAGTCAGATATGATTTTTGTTACTATTTCGACTTCAAGTGTTGACTGAAATTTGATATTGCGCTTTAATCCTCAGCATTAAGTTTGGTGATACTGACAAAGTGATGAAATCTGCGTTGTTGTTGTTGTTGTTTTTAAATAAAGAAGTCACGAACAAAATACGTTGGGTCCCAATTCAGTCGTGTCTATCGTGTACGACAGCACATCAGTTAGTTTAAACAGTTATATTTGATTTTTAAAAAAATACAAGGAACTAATCGATTACGGTGTACTGTGTATTATCGAGGCTAATATTTTCAGCACTGATTTCCAATCAACTTCAACTTTGATATTTAGTGAATAAAAATATTTGTATCCAGACAAAAAAATAGATCCTAATTAACTTGTTGACATTAAAAACCCCATCAGAGAAGATTCATTTTGTTTCAAAGTAAACCTCGTTTGGGTAACCCGGAATGTATATGAATGAAATTTACAATCTTTGCTGGTTTGGGGGACAAGATTATGAATTTGTATACAAACAGAGCACATCAAGTACTATATACATCTCACTCTATATGAACCATCTTATGAGAAAGTTGTTTGTCTCTTAATAAAATCATAATAATATTGAATGGTATCGCGAAAGGTACTTTCATGGATATACATTGTAAGTAATATCAAACATAACACAATACATTAAAACAATGGATTGTTCGACGTAAATATCACAATTTCACGTTAAAATTCTCCTGTTTTTTTCATCTCCCTGGATATATAAGTGGTGATTCAGGAACGCTCTAAATTGCAAATAACACGATGTTTACTTGTTTATTTAAAGTCAGTAAGTTATTCAGAAAACAGTAAGCGGAAGGTTTAGACTACGTTAACCCAAGTGGAATTAAACAAATAAGCAACATTAGGAGCAAAGTGATGAATTTCTGGGCGGTTCAAATTCGACTGCCCTTTAATTTGGATTATTTTAGATTATATACGAGATATTATGATACATATATTTATTTTTTTGCATCTCATCTTTGATGTACAAATTGGGACCAATTCAAGAAATTCATGGCGATTGCTCTTCAAAATGAGTTGCTGGTCTCTGATTTTATGACAATAGAAAAGAAATATAAATATAATACAATAATATAAATAAAAATATAACCCCCACGACACACACACACAACCATCATATGGTACACGTATGAGTTAGGACTATATGGACTGTGTGATATATAAGAAGTAAGTCAAGTGACCCACAACTTTTACTTAGTACAGTGTAAGACAGGGTCGAGGGTAGAAGTGAATTCATTATACAATCTAAACCCCACAGCGAACAGTGTTAATTTCTTCGCCTTTTGTGGTTGTGTAAAATAACTTAGCGAGTGTGAAAAGCTGATGCACATATGTTACAACCGCAAATACACAAAAATTAGACCACAAATCGATAAAAGATTAACCTGCAATATTGCCACAACATTGGGCCAAATGGCATCGCTGATTTACAACCCCCACCACCACCACCACCACCCTCTACACACACGCATCTTTGTAAAAATACATTTATTTAAAAATCCCAATTTAACACTTTTTTTCTTTATATATACAATGTAACAATCCCTTTAACTCTACATTTCAACTGCTCCCAAGTGTCCTTTCTTTCTGAACTAAAACTACACTTTGTATACAAGGATATTATTAGGCGAAAAGGGAAAGTTGTTTTGGAACTGAATATTACTGGGTGCCTTGCTTTCACTTTTTAATGACAAGGCCGACATACAAACGCAGTGTTGGGAGTTACAGCGATTTTGTTTTAACATAGAGCTTGTGAAATAGAACAGAGTTAGCTAAATGTTGCCTTTCAGAGCAAACTTTATCAGTCCTTTGCCATTTGTACAGCACTAATCACTTATGTCAAAGGAAAATAGCACTGGTGTTATTTCTTGAGAGTTTCTTAACATAGAAAGGCGGTTGAATAGTCTTATCTAAACACGCAGCCCATCTATTCCAATATCAGAATCATTTCACGAATGGTATGGCGTTCTGTATGATATACGACTGGTGAAATATTCTGAAGTTGTCCAGTCTTTCAGTGTTAGAGGAACCAACGATGGTGTGTGTATGTCACGCCGGGAGTGTTGTCATTAATTCTCCTTCAGATGCAATGTGGAAGATAGGCGTGATTAACATCTGGGAAAGGTTTGCTTTGTTTCACATCACCATCAAGTATCATCACTCGTGATTATCCCAGATCTCAACAGAGATTGCGTTTGCTCGAATCTTATTCGTGTACAATGCTGTGCTAAAATAATTCTAGAAACAGGAATTTGCGCTCAGCTAACGGACACGTGAAGGTAAATCGCTTACTTGTGTTCTTAAAAATAAGCAACAATCACGAGGGAAATTAATATTTCACTGCATTTAATGTGTAAGTGCTGTAAGTTTCGAGTGCACAACTGTAGATATCTCCCAAGAATGCTCCCCCCACCCCCACCCCCCACTCCCCCCTCCTTTTTTTTAAAACAAAAAAATCGAAGTGAAGTACAATTGGGAACGACGCGGACGATATTGTCAGACATTCTCGACTGAAAATAGGACGCGAATGTCATTTTCAAAGCACTAATGGTTACTTATTTCTCCCGGAAAATACATGATGATAAAATAGCCGGTGTCAACATATTTTGACTGGTACCACTTGAGGAGTCTAACTGCAAAAATCCTCCCTCGTAGTAGCCCTCTTTCCAAAATACCTTTAACTTCCCCCCCACCCCCCCCCCCCACTTCCACCCCCCCCCCCCCACCCTCCATCGAAAAGAAACGACAACTATTGATTGCCTAAAGCCTCCATCACATCTGCTTAAAATTTGCTTAGTAAAAAGTCACCAATAATTGCTGACAGTCCCGAAAGACCAAATAACTGTCTGTTGACCACTTGTATTGGAGTTGGGGTTCAATAGCTCCGTTGCGTTTTTTTTTGCAAACGTGCAATAAATGTGTGTGAGAAAGCTACTTATTCTACCTATCAAATCGGTGGGTGTCCTCCCGATTTAGATTCCCCGAACGGTGCGTTAACGTTATGAGATTTCACATTATTTAAAAAAACACACACACACACAACATATACACACACACACACACACACACACAAATGTTGTCACTTACCTGCTAAAATAACCTGGGGAAAGAGTTCAATTCACAACTGACTGACTGACTGACTGACTGGGGGCGAGTTTATAGGTAGCGCACGTTTTGATTTGGAGAGGAGAGAGAAACAAAAGATAAGACATTAAAAGAGGTATATATATATATATTAAAAAAGTCACCTTATATTTTAATGTCCTAATGCCTTGTCATTTCAAATGTGTGTGAAACTCGTCACCCATCGTGTTGTGCAGCGGTTCTTTAGGAGCGATATAGCAGACCAAATGCCCGCCTCGCGTTTCTGCAGCAAAGAACACAAAGCAAGCATTGACACAGTAGTCCTGTAGCTCAGAATAAGTTACACACGGAAACTCCAATTAGTCTAATTTCCACAGAAAAATATTTTCGACTTACATCTCCCTTACTAAAGCCCGAATCATTATTTGCTTTAAAACATGTCGCAAAAGACAGCTGGCACCGGATAAAAGGAAGCTGATAATTATCTGAAGGCCAGCGAGATTATATTTTTGTGTGTGTGTGTGTGTGTGTGTGTGTGTGTGTGTGTGAGGCCAGCGACATATTCATTCCTAAATGCGAATTGACAAACGGATGATCAGATGTAACTTATGATGGTGTGTGAGCATGTCTTAACCCGCTGGCGCCAAAGCCAAGATCGTCCGGCTAAAAATAATGCACACTGGCAGACAACAACTTTGAGAATCGGCTAACACACACACACACACACACACACACACACACGGCGAAAAATTCCCACTCTCTTGCATTAAAATGCTTAATTAATAATTCAGTCGGGTCGTGACAAAAGGAACACGAGCACTAGACAACGCATCGCTTGTTCTTAGCCGGGAGAAAACCGGAGTGATTTGGAAGTGGGAGTGGAGTGGTTTTAGAATTTAAACTGGTCTTATTTCACCGCACACACAACACAGCACAACACACTCTTGACTTTAAAGAAGCGTGTTTGGTTAGTTAGTGGAAGGAAGTTTCGGTGTGGTAGTATTTTGATTGCATTTATGGGTAGCTTGTGTTTATTAATAATAGATAAAACGGCTGCAAAAAAAGGGGGGGAGACAATCGAGCACAGTTGAATAGTTATTTTTGATGGGGGGGGGAGGAGGGAAGGGAGTAAAAAGTGCAGTGAAAGGCAGCCAATAGGGAAAGGGACAGGGAGTTTGTATAGGAAAGACATGGGATGAATGGAATGAAGACAGAGAGTGGAATATGATTGGGGGGGGGGGGGGGGGGGGGGGTGGAATAATAGATAGGCAGAGATTTAGGCCAAAATCCTAGAAACATATTGACTGACTTATTTCCCTGTCCACTCTAGCACTTGAATGTGCTGTTGAAACAACAATCGTATTTACTTGCCAGCACAACATAAACTATGGGGCGTTTAAAATACTTTCAAAGGATAAGTTGAGACAGAATGTCCACAATAAATAAATTAAATCCCTGACAGTTGTCACAATGTAGCATAAACACGCGTGTCGATTATATCGTTTCTTTTTTTTTGACACCGCTGTTTCCGATAATGCCAAAATATAGACCCACAAATATTAAATTGATTGGATCTCGGTGCCAAAGTAGCGTACGTGTATCTGGTCAGATGCAATCCATTGAATACAGTAGGACGTTGACAAGAAAACAACAGAAAGTCTGATTTGTCGCACACGTGTGCAAATCCACCATTTAAAAAAAATCCATCTCCATATATATTTGGGTTTAGATACACAGTACATTTCACACATTGATCTTGAGAGAGGAGACATCCTTAAACTAATATAGACGGACGCCAGTTTTTTTAAAGAAACCCAGGGCCTCTTATTTAGTGACACGTCGTGCTAAATTGGGTCGAAAGTTTTAAGAATGAAACAAGCAATGTAAATTCGCCAGACCTCACACATACTAAAAGAGAGAATTATTTACACGAAAACTCGCCAATGTAAACGGTGCCCGCCTCTTTCAGATAAACAGCAATCAACAAAACGCCCTGTATCATTTCAGGCTATGGGTTCTTGTCTGCTTTGCAACTAATGAAATTAAGTGTCTGGTTGCAACCCAGTAAACTAACTGCAGAGCCGTTCGGATGCGGGCGCAGAGGCTTTGAAAGCCATTTTAATTTTCACATCAGTGCACTTTACTCTCGGTGTGTGTGTGTTTTTTTTAAAAAAAAGGTCTGACGGCTAACAAGTAGCTTGCGGTATTGGCGAATGTTTAACTAAAATGGCTCGCCATCAATTCCCTTTTGTTTGCTTGCAAATTAATCATCCCATACGCAGTTGGCGCCAGTGTAGATTTATCACACACATGAGGGTGAATGAGCCGGGCGAGGAGAGACAAAGAGAGTTCGCACCTTCCTGCTTTTGATCTTAGATTAGGGCACCCTCCCTTCATAATAGAAGTCTCCAGGGTGCTTATCTTGGGAGGTCAGTCTTAATTGGCGGAAATATGTGTGTGTAACATTTTTTTAAAAAAAACATTACCTTATATAATGTGTAATTTGCAAATAGCCCGGGTTGGAGGATATTTCCCCTTCCCCCCCCCACCCCCCAATACAATATAATATAATTCAATCAACAGTATTATAAGGAACACACACACATATACATACACGCATACACCCCACGCTATCATCAGCATTGTATTAAAAAAAAGTTTGGAACTTCATAGGGAATGCTAAATCTTTGGGGGTCTCTTTTGGTGTCTGTTGCAGAAAAGTTGTGCAAGCAAAGTGGAATTGCATTTACTTTTATAATACAATAATATTATGATTGATAACATATTTTATTATAATGAGAATATGATAAACGCCCACACGTATACAGTCAATGCACTTTATAGTATATGCTGTGAAGCGCTCCGAGACGTCTCGAAGACGTGATAAGGCACTATATCAAATGCAAGGATTATTATTATAATAATTACACATATATTCAATAACTCGAGTCGGCTATTTCCCCAAATTTCCGCACAGATCACAGTTTTAAAAAAAGCGTTGAGTCTTGGCGTGGGGTGGGGGGGGGGGGGGTGGCGGGGGGGGATTGTGTCTGGCGGGGGTGGGGGGGGGGTGTGGGGAGAGGGGTGTGGGGAGAGAGAGAAAAAAAAGAATCAAGACATTGCAAAGCTGTGGAGCAAATTAACCATCAGTTAACAGCTCTGGTGACTGGACTCCTGTCAAAGATACAATCCTTTACCGGTCGGAAAAAGGATTTCTCTCTATTTCTCTCTCTCTCTCTCTCTCTCCCCCTCTCTCTTTCTCTCTCTCTCACGCGATCTTGGCTCGGCCTTTATTTTTTTTTGGGTGGGGGGGGGGGGAACGAAAAGTGATCCATAACAAGCGAGACGCGATTTAGCATTCCCGACGTCAGGAAGCCGGCGCCAAGAGCGTCAAAAATACAGTGTTGGTGGGGCTTTAAATGTTCTGCTCCTATCTCCGTGCATTCAGCTCGATGTGACTGTGTTTTTTCTCCCCCCATTCAGTTACAACTCTCTCTTTTCTCTCTCTCTTTCTCTCTGCCTCTCTATGTCTCTTTCTGTCTCTCTGGCGGCTTTTAACGTGGGGCTGGGGAGGGGGGGCTGAAAAGAAAAGTGTTTGACTTAAAGGCGCTTGATGCATCAGCCTATTAAACGTCATGGCCCTGATAATTAAATCACCTCGTTAAATTAGGCTTTTTTTTGGTGATGGGGGTGGTGGTGGGGGGGGGGGGAAGCAGGGCCAGAAACACATACAATCAAGAACCCCCCCCCCCCCCGCCCCCATTCACTGAACATCTCGCAGATTGTCTTACAAATTAAATACAGGTCGCTTACTTATCTTAACAGTATAGGCCTGAGAGAGAGAGAGAATGAAAGAGAGAGAGAGACGGTGCTAGAGTTAGAGAGAGAAAGGGAATAATAATAATAATAATAATAATTCTTGCCCTATCACGTCATTGAGACGCTTCGAAGCGCTTCACAGAATATACTGCAAAATGAATTAGCTGTGTGTTTTTGTGGACGAAAAAATGGGGACACCGCTGTTTCACATCTTCATTGGCCTGTGCATACACCCCCCCCCCCCCCCCCACCCCACAACCACACTCCCAGCAAAAACACATAGAAATACAATCGCTAAAGCCATGGCCCCAATGTAGGTTGACAATGGGATCAACCTTATATAGGAGATGTGATGGTTTTAAGAGAGTACACATAACGGCGAGGTTATACCGGTTTGGTGTGTGTGTGTGGGGGGGGGGGGGGGGGGGTGGGGGGTTGGCTCAGACTCCCTCAATGTCTTACGGATAGATAGATAGACAGATACATATTCTTGCTGATTTTTTTCCCTGCTCTGTCGATGGTGGAATCGAGCCACCTGAGGCAGCCCCGTTGCTTCGCCATTGGTTCTTTCTTAATGATGTTGACATATCCACACGGCTAAAGCGGTGATGCTTGCCTGTACGTTACAGTTTCCGACACCTTTTTATAACTCATCTATCCCTGGGTCTTAGTTGTCAAAACCACGCCTATGGAGGCACACAATTGGTCCGAAGCGTCAAATAGCCTATCAGTAGGGTTCTGGTGCTCGTAACACGCACACATACACACACACACACACACACTCACTGAGAAGGAGAGAGAGAGAGAGAGAGGGAAGGAAAGAAAGAGAGGGAGGGAGAGAGAGAGAGAGCGAGAGATCCGGACTTCACTGTTGCAGAGATGCCTCTCTGCTCCTCTGCCACACCGCAAGCCACCAGTCTTACTTACTTTCTGTTTGTGTGAATTAAGAAAAAAATATATTACTGCCACCACCACCACCCCCCACCCCCCCGACCCTTACACCCACCCCCCACCCCACTCTCTTCCCACCCCACCCCACCCCACCCCAGCAACGATACAACAACAACAACCACCACCACCCAAAAAAAAAAAATCACCTCCAAAATCCATCCCATCATGTGTCTGTGAAAAAAAAAAAGCCGGCGAGGAGGTTCACAACGACAAGACCTTGGCAGAAAAGTGCATGGAAATTTAATCGATGAGAGAGACAGCCACTCCGGGAACAAACATGGCTTACCATCCCTTCTTACCTCACCGAGCACCGGACTTCGCGATGAGTACGATGCTCGGGCATCACCCTTCTTTCTTCCCCGCTCTCGCCTTGCCCCCCAACGGCTCGGCGGCTCTCACACTCCCCGGCGGCCTGAGCAAACCTCTGATGGATCAACTGGCCGGCGCTTCGGAAGCGGCTGGGATCTCGCTGTCGGCGTTGGCCCATCCGCCTTCTCATCTCAGGCCTCTTAAGACTCTGGAGCCCGAAGAAGAGGTAGAGGATGATCCGAAAGTTAATCTCGAAGCCAAGGACCTTTGGGATCAGTTTCACAAGCGAGGGACAGAAATGGTTATCACCAAATCTGGAAGGTACGAGTCATTTTCTCTCTCTCTCTCTTTCTCTCTCTCTCTCTCTTCTGTTCACCCCCCCCCCCCCCCCACCACCCCCCTCACAGACACAGACACACACACACACACCACCTCAACCAGGCGACCAGACTGATTGACTGACACCCACCCCTCTCTCGCGTTGGAAGTTCTTTTATCAACCCAACTTGTGGTTAGATGTAATGCGAAATATTTTTTTTTGGCGTGTCTTGGGGTTCTATATATGTATATAAATTTTAACGCTACCCCCCCCCCCCCCCACTCCTCACCACCACCACCTCTATCCTCGCCGAAATGAAAATAAGGAAAATTGAAAAGTGCAATTGAATTATTAAGAGAAGATTTGCACTCACTCGCTCCTAAGACACATCGGTTGCAAATTGTTTTTTTTAATAAAAAAACTAATCGTGTTAAAATTATGAACATATATATATCGTCTGTATCGCCATCGAGCTGAGTGCTATATATTTAGTCATATACATTGACTAGAAGGGAGGGAGTCATTTGCTAACTTTTATTTTAAATAAATTCTGTGCAAGTTTTTTTTAGGGGGTTGAGATCAGATACCCCCCTCTCCCCCCCACCCCCTCCACCCCCCTTGCCCCCCACTACCACCACCACACACACATCACCAACCACCAAATATCAAATGCCGAGACAGGTTATTAAAATTGATTTCAATTGATTTCGCGACGGCGAGAGTCACACTCGAGCTGCATAAGGGGATTGAGGCTGTGCTCATTGTTGGAGGTTAAATCTGATTACATTGTACAGCAGTTTTATTTTATTTGGTGGCAGCGCTGCAACTGTGCGGAATGAATAAAAGGAGGTAAAAGAGAGGTCGAAACATGAATACTCTTCAGAGCAGAGCACCCAAGCACTAGTCGAACGATTACGCCCGATTAGTGCCGTGTGTGCTTTTAAAAGGCAAGCACATTCCTGTGTTTTTTTTAAAAAAGAGTGGGGGGGGGGGCAAAAAAAAACTTGCAACTTATCTCGGCGCACTGGTAAATTATTTCCACGACACCTTACTGGTAACGTTTTAACTTCCACTCAAGTTTTTTTTTATGGCACCAATTGATGATTATAAAACCATAAACGGTGAGTTGGTTTGTCGTGTAACGCAGGTAACAAACGCACACATACACACATATATATATATATATGTGTCGTCTGTGTGTGCTAAGTACAAGCGAGAGTTGGGAGTGAATTTGTGCAGCCATGGCCAGAAGTGGTTAGGTTTTTGTGTGTGTGTGTGTCTGGGGGTGGTGGGGGGGAGGAGGTTGAGGTGCTATTGTTTGAGCCTTTGAATCGTATATAAAAAGGCCCTTATGTGTATTTGTATTATCTCTCTCCATATATTATATATATTATATATACATCTATATATATGCCCGTAGGATCACCTATAAGCGAGAAGGTTTGTGAACCCAGAAAGTTTCACAATACATGTACAGTACACACAATAAAGAGAAAATAATTCACTGTGAGCTTTTTTTTTGGCTTCTGGAATGCTTCACACCAGCAATTTTCCAGTATCAAAAGCAAAGCCTACAGTCTCCAAAATCATAGAACATTAAAAATATAAACATTTCTTTTTTTTAAAGACGGAGATTTGTTATATACTGTACACACACATATGTGTATGGCTTATATATAGTCCATGTCTGTCTGTATCTTTTTCTATATATAATCCAAATCTTTTTTCTCCTTCCCTTACACATACACACCCACATAATCGCTCACATACACATACACATATACACACACATACACATATATATATATGGATTAAATCACTGACAGTTTAATGTGAAAAAAGGGGTCGACTCGTGTGTTTTTTTTCCAACAGACGAATGTTCCCGCCATTTAAAGTTAGATGCACTGGTCTGGATAAAAAAGCCAAGTACATTTTGTTAATGGACATCGTAGCAGCGGACGATTGCCGGTACAAATTCCACAACTCACGCTGGATGGTGGCAGGGAAAGCTGATCCCGAAATGCCCAAGCGAATGTATATCCACCCGGACAGCCCGGCTACTGGGGAGCAATGGATGTCTAAAGTTGTCACTTTTCACAAACTCAAGCTGACAAACAACATTTCGGACAAACACGGCTTTGTGAGTTTTACTTTTCTCCCTTCTTTTTTTTTACTTTTGGTTTGATGAGAGGTTTTGTGTGTGTGTGAGGGAGAGCGTGTGGGGGTGTGAGAGAGAAGAGAGTGTGTTGTGTGTGTGGAAGAGAAGAGTGTGTGAGGGAGGAAGGGAAAAAGATTTGGGAGTGATGTACTACAGTGACTGTTTTTTCTTAAATGCCCATTTCACCGCGCAGAGTGTTAGCAATTTTTTATTTACATTTTCTTTGGAGACGTGCAACGTTTTAATTTGCTGCAAACTTTTTTTGACTGTCATGATATTTTTTTGGGGGTGGGGGGGGGGGTTGGGGGGTGGAATAATGTACACATCTTGCGTTTTTCTTAACCTAGAGTATTACATAATGTAGATCGGCCATTTTATATCTGTGGTGTTTAAAGTTTGGGGTTTATGATAAGGGTCGTATTTTTGCAACTTTCTACAGAGCCACTAAAAAATAGCAAAGGGTTAACTATATGTCAAGTCGCTTCCCCTCTCCTATTTCAGACTAGATATTTCAAAAGCAGTCGATGTGCGAGTGGTTATCAGCGTAAAAGAGGCTGAAATAATCCTTTTTTTAAACCCCACTTTCTCATAAAATAATGTACAAACACGGAATGAATGTGTATAAAATTCAGCCCTCATAACAGCTGATGGTAACAATCTACACTCTGTTTTAATGCATCACTCACAAAAGATTTAAGCCAGTGGAATGAATAAGACAAGACAGGTTGGATTTGATTAAGATTATACCAGCGACCCATGATTTTTATGTTCCTTACAGTAGTAAGTGCCAGCGTTTTAGNTTTTTTTGCAAAAAACATTACATTTCTGGAATCATATGCTCGACTTAGCTTTGCAAGGCCTCAAAACAGCCGAGCGGCCGTAATGCAATGCAATGCAATGCAGAGAGAGGGGTCTGCATTTGCCTTAATACAAAATAAAGTCTCATTCTTTGCACAGTAAAATCTTACGCCTGACTATTAATGGACATGACTGCAAATCTATGAATAAGCATAGAGTTTCTCGACGCTTACAATACAGGCAGCCAGAGTTAGAAGCACTTAAATCCTAGGGAAAGTCTCATCCTACTTAAAGCTCCCATTAGTTTTGAGCCGACTTGTAGTAATTTTCTCTCTCTCTCTCTCCCCCCACCCCCCCCCCCACCCCCCCCCCCCCCACTCCCTCCCTCCTCCCTTCCTCGTTCTCCATAGACTATTTTGAATTCGATGCACAAATATCAACCCAGATTCCACATCGTTCGCGCCAACGACATCTTAAAACTCCCTTACAGTACTTTTCGCACCTACGTTTTTCCGGAGACCGAATTCATAGCAGTGACGGCATACCAGAACGATAAGGTAAGCCCGGTCACACAACAGTGGATGGATGTTTTGCAGTGAAGTGCGCTGTGTACAAAAATAAATGTACGTGTGTATATATACATATGTGTGTTTTTTTTTAAGAACCGGGATGTTTCTAAAAAAGGAAGCTTTGGCATTTTGTTGGTAGATGGACTCTTGTTTCGCTGGTTGAATAATGTGGCAAAAAGGGGGAAGCATCTTGTCATACATACATATATATATATATATTCGGTTCCTAAATTGTAATGGTTGAGATGATTTCGCTCAATTGCATTAACAATGCTAAGCGGTTGAGCTTAATTAAATCCTCGAGATTTGCCGCAAACTCGGTTTTTTGTCTGCTTGTGGTTGGCAATTAGTGAAAGCTTGGATGAATGATACGGTAGTGAGCAGAATATTTAGTAGTGTGTGTGTTGTGTGTGTGTGTATATATCATATATATATATATATCTTTGACGTGATGCATGTTGATTCCAGAATTTAAACACATCTTGCATTGCTAAGTGATAGCATTTGCTCAGATTTTATTGACAAACAATTGAAATTTGGATTTTTTGAAAAAAATATACGCGTGCTTAAGAGAAATGGGAGAGAGAGAGAGAGAGAGAGAGAGAGAGAGAGCCATGATAGAGAGTAGGAACTAAGTTGTGTTTAAGGGTGAAAATCCTCTAAGATTTTAAGATCAAAATTATGTGATAGGGTGTTTTGTCCAAGGACAAGTAGGATGGAAGTTAGCTGACCCGGATTTCGTCCGCAAATTTTCACAGGGAGTTGGAAACTTAAATGTTTTTTTCCCGACGTTTGACTTGACACCGTGTGTGCCTCCAGCCGAGTGTAGCACTTAATTGTACTGTTAATGAGGGCCGACTTCAAATGGGAAAGCGGCGAGTGAGGTGACTTGATAATTCGTGAACAGTAGTGGACTGGGGATTTGTGAGCAGTCGCAATTTCGGTGAGAGGAGAGAAAAAGAGAGGTGTGTGTGAGAGAGAGAGCGAGAGAGAGAGAGAGAGAGAGAAGGAAGGGAAGAGGGAGTTGGAAAAGTAGCACTGATAACGAGAGAGCAGTCAACATACATAGCAAACGATGTGAACGTAGAGGAGAGAGACAGTGAGAGAGAAAGAGACGGTTTTCTTGATATGAAATTCACTCGTTTTTTGTAGTCTCACACACACACCCACACAAAAGGGCACTAAATCTCTAAATCCCCCCCACCATTGAAATGAAGTTCATGAATTGATATTGGAGTCTGTAGCGTTGACCTGATGTTGTCAACAAAAAACTGCGAGCATCAGGGCAACTTTAATTTACCACAGATTTTTTAAAAATAAAGTACCTGTTCTCATTGTTACTGGGTCATTTTATGTATCTGACTCCCCGAATGGGGATAGATTTTAACTCCCATCCATTGTAGCAGTTGTATATTTTAGCCCGGGAATCTCCTGTTAATCCTGCTATTTGTATATTTCTGTCCCTTTGCCCTTTTTTTGCAAAATAAATGAATTAGCTACGATAATAGTTAAGAATAGTAGAGACACTACATTCTTTCGCTGAACTAGTCGCGATTTTTCTCAAGATTGAAGTGCTATTGCCACCCACCCTACACACACACACCATCACACACACAGAAAACAAAACAAAAAAGGCAGGAAAGGTAAAATAGAAACTCTCAAGTGGAATGAAACTAACAACAACGTTTTGTGGAGTTTTTAAACTCGCATTTTGAGCTACCATTAAGATGCACACAACCTTCTTCGAATACATTCTATATATTATCTGGAAACTTTGGCTTTTATCCATCCCCAAAACGAAAAAAGTTATCTCGAAACGCTACACTGATTTGAACCAAACAAAAAAAAATCATCCGCTGGATATAAAAGATTGCACAGTCACTGCACTTTACAGTAAAATCCTGCCAAGCGCTTTGCGACGTCGTTGTTGTTATTAATTCAAAATGTTCATTTTGCTTGTAAAATTCAACACATAGCATCCGAAACCATTGCTTAGAGAGTGAGAGAGCTCTCCACGTTGTGTTCTCTCTCTCACTCCCTCTCTCTTTCTGTGTATTGAGTCAGTAGTTGCAAGTGTTGCGCTATTAGGCATTACCCAGGCCTGAAAAATAGCAGATCTCTTTATATGTATATATATATATTTTTATGTGTGTGTTTTCACGTGCAGATAACCCAGTTAAAAATTGACAACAACCCTTTTGCCAAAGGCTTTCGCGACACGGGCAATGGGAGGCGAGAGAAGAGGTAAGGGGAATTCACTATTGGGTTTTTTTGGGGGGGTAAAGCGTTGAAAGAGGCCTTGGAAACTGCTATGACTTTTTACTAAAACTATGAGACGGTATATAGTCAAATGTTTCAATGCTGTGCAAGACATTGGAGATGACATATTTGCTGAGTCTGTGTAAACAGGCAGTGAGCGCGCTCCATTTGCCAATTGCGGGTACTTTCGGTTGTAATATTTGTCGTTGGTTTTTTTTGTTGCGCCAGACAGCATAAAAAAAAGTACAGTATCAAAAGAGTAATATCACGATGAAACGCTCAAACGCCGACCCTCCGCTTAACGACTCATCGTTTTGGGCGATCAGTTTGAAATTGTGCTGCTTCAAATGCGGAATAATAATTATAATCCCGAAACAAAATTGCAATTTTGCCTCCCTTTGAGCAGGAAGCAATTGGCAATCCAGTCGCTCCGAGTCTATGAGGACCAGAAAGGAGGGAAGGAAAATGGGACATCGGACGACTCTTCCAGTGAGCAACCGGGATACAAGTGCTTTGGTCAGTCCGCCTCTCCCGCTGTTTCCACTACAGGGACTGCAAACCTAAAAGGTTATTTATTATGCTGTTGTCTACACAAGAGGGTGGGGTGGGAGTGAGAGAGGGGGTTTGTTTGTGCCCTTTTATGAGCCGCCATTAACTAACTATGTGTTGACTCGCACATTAATTCGGCATGGTGTCAGTTAGCCTTTGACCATCTTTATCGCTTACCACCTACAATGGAGGAGAGGACTTCGATGTCCATTTAGATTTATTTATATATTATTTATCTCGGTGTGAGGGTGGGGGGGGGGGGGGGGGGCGAAATTGGGTCATCGAAACGATGTCAACTTGTGCGTGTGCGCAGGCGAGCGTTTTGTTGCATCCAAGAGGTTCAGAGGCAGATTTTGAATAGTTCCATCTTATCTAAGGAAATTAATTAATTCGCTTTATTTTTCCTCTCCTCTTCCCTCCCCCCCCCCTTCCCCCACCCCTTGAGTCCCAGTAACTTCGAAAAGAACACAACAGGTTGTAAAGTTGGGCTTCTAACTTGCTAGCTACTCCATATATATGTTTTTTTTTTAAAAATCCACATCAAGATATTTCCATCTGCGTCGTTGCTTATCATCTGACCAATGCAGTTAGGCGTCGCGTTATCAATGCAAAAAAAAACTGGGTGCACGATCGAAAGATGGTATTAAAACCGCAACGCTGAGGTGCATGCATTTTTTAAAGGCTTTTTTTTTAAAAAAAGCTTAGATTGATCCATTCACTCCCTGGCTTTGGCTTTGTGTGATAGTGTTTTTCTGTGTTGTGTTTGGGACGCCAGCAGGTGCTTTGCCAAGCGAGGAAGAGAGCGACTTGGACAGCAAGGATGAACCTTCGCAGGAAGGAATAGCACTAAGCGCCTCCGCCGCCGCCTCGGATGAGCGAAAGGACGACCCGGTTTGCGCCAAATCTCGACAATATCCTTTAGACTCTGTGAGCAGAACCAAAGAGCCGGAGAGTCTGAGAACTGATAAGAACTCGAAGGACACGCAACAGATACAGAGCCCGACAAATAGCTACTCGAGTAGAAGAGTGGTTAATGAGGAGGGATCCCGGATCAAAAGTCCAGTGAGAGAACATCGGAAGGCGGATGAGACCAGGGCTCTGAGCAAGGAGCCCTACTCGCCCTTGATGGTGCAAACTGAGAGCGCTTCCCACCTGAGCCACGGACATTTGCAAAACCTTAGCTTCTCCCATAACATGTCTGGCCAGCAGTTTTTTGCCCCGTTGGGCGCGGGACATCCCTTGCTCTTTCACCCCAGCCAGTTCGCCATGGGTGGGGCCTTCCCCAATATGGCAGCAGGTATGGGTCACCTGTTGGCTTCCATGTCGGGCTCCTCCAGCGGAATTGGCGGTCTGGATGCGACTGGGATTTCATCACCTCAGGGACTGTCTGCAGCGTCCGCAGCCACTCTACCTTTCCATCTCCAGCAACATATGTTGGCCTCTCAGGTAAATTAAATATATTATATATATAGATATGAATCAACTTTGGAACTTCCACCAAAGAAAATAACTCGCTTTTTCTTCAACTTTCATGATAACTGCAAGTTGAAACTCAAAATCCGATATTGAATTCGCTTTTTCTATTCATTTAAATATTATGCGCCACTGTATTTGGAAAGAAAATAATGTCTTCATAATCTCATCCCTCCGCCCTCTGCCCACCCCCCCTTTCTTAACTTCTTGATTAGCAGCAAGTTGAAACTTGAAACGATATTGAATTCTGCTTTTCTTTAATTTACATATTACGTACCACTATGGGAAAGAAAAAAAAGTCTGCTTAATCTCTTCCCTCTCCCCTCTCCTCCCCCTTTCTTCCACTCTAATTCATCTTTAACAGTAACGTGTGTGGGTTTGACTTGTGAGTGTGTGTCTAAGGGACACCCAATCTGGCAATGGTTTAATCACAGGTACATTGATACAACAAAGAGTCTGGTTACGTTTAAAGGAAAAACTACTTTCATTTGACATGCCAAAGCTGAAATATTTATTAGAATGGACGGTGTAGACAGTGGGTGTGAATCTTTCACTATTTCCGGTGTGACATTTCACTTTTTTTTCATATATCTACTCAAGCAAAGTTAGACCTTCTATTGCAGCATAACTGGAGTTTTATAGATATAATTAAATCCCTCCCCTTATTTGTTGATTATGTTTTAATTGAAACTCCTTACGTTTAGAGAATGCGAGCGTGTTTTGCATAGCGAATGGTTTTGATGTTAATTTTCATTCGCTCATCCGCTTTCTAATGAAAACGCGCAAAATATGCAGTCACTCCACTTAACAGTGGTGATCCCGCGAATGGAGCGCTTTGAGACGTCTCAACGACGTGACGAGGTGCTGGATCAAACACGCAAAGATCATGATGATGCATCATTATTATTATTATTAATAATAAAAGACGTTCGGGGTGGCAGATAATGATTACGATCGCCTTGATCGGTGAGCACGCAATCGATGCGTGACTGCACTCCACTGTGAAATGATTCAACCTTTTAACTATAAATTCTGTGGCTGTTGATTTTTTTAAATTGAAACGTAATTGTTCCAATTTTTTTTGTGTTTTTTTGTTTGGTTCCCCCCCTTCTCCCCCCTTCCCCCCCTCCCCTCCTCCCCCTCCCCAGGGTCTAGCGATGTCTCCGTTTGGCAGCCTTTTCCCATATCCTTACACCTACATGGCCGCCGCCGCCGCCGCCGCTCTGCCCGGTGGGGTACCCACCACAGCAGCCTCCGCCTTGCACCGTCACCCCTTCCTCAGTGCGGTCCGGCCCCGCTTGAGGTACAGCCCTTACTCGATCCCGGTACCGGTGCCCGACACCAGCCTGTTGACCACGGCCGCTTTGCCCTCCATGTCGACAGCGGGCGACCCCTCCAAGCCGAACAGAATGGCTCCCAGCCCAGTGACAGCTGCCAGCATGGACTCCTCCGCCTCGGAGATCAATAGCAGGGCCTCCACCCTCTCCACCGGCTCGGTCTCCCTCTCGCCCAAACAGTGTTCCGAGAAAGAATCGACGACGAACGAGCTGCAGAACATCCAACGCCTCGTTAGCGGATTGGAAAGCAAACAGGAGCGATCCTCCCGGGGAAACTCGCCCTGATGGGTATCAGCAACCGGGGGAGATGAGAGAGCCCTTGAAATGTGGCTTTGCATGTCACACACACACACACACACACCAAACACACACACACACACACACATGCCCCCACACACACACCCAAACACATGCCCACAGACACACACCCAAACACATGCCCACACACAAACACACGCACGCACACACACACGCACACACACATACACACACACACACACACACACACACACATCCAAACACACGCACACACAAACACACGCACGCACAAACACATGCACACACACACACACATGCACGCACCCAAACACACGCGCACACACCCAAACACACGCACACACACACGCGCGCGTATAATCGTTTTTTTTTCTTCTTCTCTCTTTAAAATAGAAAAAAAAGAAACAAAAAAAATTTTGCTAGCGTAGAATCTTAACGACACCGACTTTTCCCACCCGACATAACGACAAAAAAAAAGTAGCCTAGAGAGACAGAGAGAGAGAGAGAGAGAGAGAAAGGGAAAGGTGTGCAAAAGAGGTTGGCACTATCTGTATTTTTTTTTGGCTTTAGAGTTAGTCGATCTTGCTTTTCATATATATGCAATAACAAGAAAAAAAAGAAACGGAGACAGACTTATTATAAAAGTATTTATGTAATTATTTGATAACAACGTGTAAATATATTGAAATTAGAATACTCGAAATTATACTTTAATTTATTGTTGTTTGTACATAGATTCTGTATATAAGGCTTCCAGGCCCCTTTTTTTCCCTTTTATTCATTAATTCATTCATTCATTCGTTTGTCATATTCATTTCAGAAAAAAACACAAACTCGTATTAACCACAGTGCCGGCGATCCTTACCACTCACTATTTTACCTTACAAAACTGTGTCACCTTGCTACGTTGAAAAAAAATACTTTTGAGTACAAAAAAAACCGTGCCATTTTTAGCTTTTACCATTGTTTCAGTGTTAAAGTGCTACTGTTAGCGAGTAACATTTAAAAGAAATGCTCACCATTTGCTTGAAGAATAATGAAGGCGCTTTCGAGTTTTTGTGTGTGTGTGTGTATGTATGTGTGTATGTATGTATGCGTGTGTGTATGTGTATGTGTGTGAGTGAGTATAAAAATGAATGGAGATTTTATGCTTAAAACAGCTTGGAAGTGCCGAGAGTTGAGTTGAGAGAGAAAAAAAAATAAAATGAAGGTATATATTTTGTGTTATAAAATGTTTGAAAGTTCTTGGTTCCTTTCTTGTACTATTTTGTTTTGCTTTTAAGTCCTCAAAAGTTTCAATAAATTTCTATCCAAGTCTATGGTATGGTCGTTTTTCTCTTATTCGTAGGAGGGGAGGACCGGCAAAACATGGGATTATTGTGAATGAAATTAAACAGATAATTAACTTGACGATATATATATTTAATCTACTGATAAATGCAGTGATATCCAACCAAACGTTCGTTAAAACTATGGGTTTATTTTAGACAATGTTCTATGGAAAAGATGTCTCTGTCACGTTAGACTGTATTTACTGTATAGATCAGTGGACGTTTACAGTAAGAGTGAAATTAACACTACATAAATTGACTCTTAAGCTCACTAAATAACTTTTTTTATACCCAATATTCACCAGAGTTTCCCCTTGTTGAATGGCTTTGACTTTTGCTTGGCTGTAAGCGCAGTAACTCTTCTCATTAGCGCCCTCACTTCTTCCCAAAGTCGTTTAACAACAGTTTAATAAGTTTAATAAGGCAAAATAAAACAATAGTTTACCACACCCACCGCTTGCAATCAATATTTATAGTTATCTTTCCAAGCGTTTAGTTTTTTTTGGGGGTGGGTGGGGAAATGCAATTTCGGTGAGGGATTTTATTGAGAGTTCAGCGAAAACGTAGACATTTAAATTGAAAATTAAATAACTGCAACATTTCACCCTAACCCCAAAAAAAAGACCCCGCTAAATATGCCGAAATTTTGCCAACAAGCGTTTGCGTGTAAATTCATTTTTTGTTTAAAAATGTAATAATCAAGTAGAAATGTATGTGTGTTGGGGGGGAGGGGGGGGGGGGGGGGGAGGCGGGAGGCACTTTGAATTGTATCTTAACGTGAGAGTAACTTACTTTAAGACTGAATTGAATATTTCTCCCACAGCCCCACAATTCGACTTGATTTGAAACATGTTAAGATCTCTTTCTCTCTCTCTTTCTGGGCTAAAAGTAAGACCTCTTAAAAGGGTTTCTATGTGTTTTTTTTAATATATGTGTGTGTGCACATGCGGTTTCTCTCTTCCCCCAAATCCGAAAAAGTTTGACCTAATAGGGTAGAAGGAACTAATCAAAAATGTCGTGGTCATATACGGAAATGGGAACACGTGTAATGGTAGTTTCATGGGGGGAAAGGAAATCCGTAAGGCCAAAGGTTATTTATGATCTGTATTTTCCCAAGTTTTTTCTGTGTTTGCATTTATAGTGCGCAAGCAATTTTACACGCTCATTTTCAATGTGAAAGATGCATATAAAGATACTAGTTTTTTAGTGAGGGGGTGGGGGGTGTGTGTGTGTGAGAGGGGGTTAATTTAAAAGCTTTAAGGATATACAGTACATGGTAGCAATATCGAATCACAACCATTTTCTTTTCTTTGCTTAACTTATATCCCCAATACTCTCTCTCTCTCTCTCTTCGCAACGAGAGAGAGAGAGAGAGAGGTATGCAAAATAAAAACTTATTGTTTAAAATCTTATTAATCGCAAACAACCTGACTTGATTTAATTTGAGATAGATTTCCTTTTCCTTTCCACCACCCCCCCCCCCAAAAAAAAAACCCACAGGCATCACACGACTTTAAAAAAACCCTCAAATGACACAAAAAAAAACCCTCCTCCCTCTCCCACACCACCCCAACACCAGCCCCCCCCCCCCCCCCAAAAAAAAAATGCCGCATCTACAGCCGAAATGGTTCCATCTACCCCTCTCGGTTCTTTGTTTGGGGCTCCACGTTAATATATAACTAGCGAGGCGCTCGTGGATCGGAGTAAACAATGTACAATATATCTGGATTATCGTCACGTATTACTCACCTGGCGCCTCTGCTGATCTGATCTGTGATTTCAGCTCAAGTTAAGAGCAGCGCAGGTTAATTGGCTGCCCGGCGGCTGCTGGAGTCGCTCCTGTGCCTCTCTTTTCTCTGGTGATGGAGTACCATCTAGCGGGCAGGAAGGAGAGTGCCTACAGCTGGGCTGAGCCAGCAGTTCCAATTCATCTCCCACCCCCCCCACCCCCCCCCCCCCCCCATGACCCGGGCAGAGTGTAAAGGTCACTTTGCTTGGCCAGTCCGCATAAAAATTAATTACATACATGAGAACGTAAGATCATAAGAATTCGCTGGGCGAAAAAAAAAGACCCAAGGTGTCCCCGCCCCCCCCCCCACCCCGGTTCGCCTTCAACTATCCTTGGCAGTCGCTTGACATGTCGTGTTCCAAACTGTATACTGTATCCCGAGATATTATTTTCTAACAGAAATCTTATCTAATTTGTTCTTGAAAGAAACAACGCTTTCTGCTTCCACCGTCTCCCCAGGGGAGCCTTGCTCCATACGTTTATAAGAACATAAGTACTTGCATGTCTACTTGTGTAATTGAGAATCATTTAATTAGTTTTTTGGGGGGTTGGGAAGGCGATGGAAAGACCTCAAATGAATATAGATCACTGCTATATTGTGTCTGCTCTCATGTGCTCTGGGCTAGATCATTCCTGTCGTCCCCCCCCCCCCCCCTCCCCCGTAAAATCCAGTGTTTCTTCGAATGTTTTACCCGCCCTGTATTCTCTTAAGCCTTCTCACTGTATTGCATTATAAAGTAGACCAGGTTGGCGCTAAATATTTCAATACATTTAAGAATGATGCCTCAAAACATTGACGAATGACTCATAAATATTTAAAGCAGAAAGGTAGTAGTGGTTAGGGAACACATTATCAATGTGCTTGTGTGGTAGAGAAGCTTAAATAAAGGTTATCATTTATAGAAATGATTACTTTGTTTCAGCCACAAATTACACAGTCAATCTACTTTACAGTATATTCCGTGAAGCGTTTTGAGACGTCTCGAAGATGTGATTAAGCGCTATATCAAATGCCAGGATTACTATGATTATTGAAAAGCGCAAACTGAAAGCGTTTCATTTCTTTCAGTTTGCTGGGAGAGGGAGAGCAAATAAAAGCAAGTTGTATTTTTCCTCCCTTATGAACGTGGCATGGAGTTGGAAGCCTAAGGATATTCAGGACAAGGTAGCGATGTTGAAATCACAAACCATTTTCTTTTGACTTTGCTCAACTTCTATCCCACAACTCTCTCTCTCTCTCTCTCTGTGTGTCTCTTTCTTGCTGGGGATAGTACAGGTGCCAGCTGCTCTTAACACAAACCGCCTATCATATTCACGTCCGAGCCTTGACAGACAGACAGTGTTGGGCAAGTCTAATTAGACAGAAGGGAAAAAAAGAACACAACACACACTGGGTTGTGTCTGCACCCGACACCCATACGCGCCAACACATTCCAAGCGAAGGGGTTGGCGGATACTGATCAGGTGCACGAACTCTCGACTGACTCCGCTCCTCCCTAGCCCAGGGGCACTGAGGCTAATTTTAACTCCCCAACTGCAACCGTGATTAAGATCAGCGAACAGCACAGCACAGACTGAGGGGACGAGTTTGGCTCAATCCTAGTGGTTCCTTTATGCACTTTAGGCCCATAGATAAACCCCCCGTCTTTTTCTCTTCTCTTGTCTCTTTCTCTTGTTGCTCCGGATATATAACTACTGTACACATACACACATATATATATATATGTATATAGAATCGTCCCATCCCAGTTGGCTTATTCACTCGAAAGCCATCGTTCGGATATTTTGTTCCCCAATTTTTTAAAAAAAACAAAGTTGTTTTCTATTCTCGCGAAGAACTTCAGCAACAACAACAAAAAAATAGCCACAGATGCAATTTGAGATACGCATGGAGCTAATACTGGAAAGTAGAGGGAAACAGAGTCCCGTTAATACTGTGTGTGTGTGTGTGTAGGGGGGGGG